TGGGTGAATGCTTTGTCCCCACGGTGCATGGCTCGATTTTATTTTCCTCTAAGACAAGACTGGGGCCACCAATAGAAAAAAAAAAAAGGCAAACCACATCTCTCAAAGGGTCCTCTCATTCCTAATGGGACCCTTCTCTGGGTTCCACTGCCCTTCAGACGCCACACTTTCTCCCCCTCACTGCAGTCAATGGCTAATGAATGCTACTCCTTCCAGCTGCCTGGCAAGGAGTGAGGGATTCCCTTAAGTAGCCAAGATTCTCAGTATTTTCATGAAAATAAGAACTCTGCAGTCCTTTTAGTCCCTACATGTACTTGGGAGAAGAGGTGAGCGGGAATCACCCTCTCAGTTTCCCAGGAAAGCTTCCCAGCGTTTGTGGCCTAAGAATTCATAAGAGTAGCTGAACAACATTACTTACATAGCAATGAGATAACCAGTCAGAATACAGTCTTTTCTTTTCTTTTCTTTTCTTTTCTTTTTCTTTCTTTTTTTTTTTCTGAGACAGAGTCTTGCTCTGTTGCCCAGGCTAGAGTGCTGTGGCGTCAACCTAGCTCACAGCAATCTCAAACTCCTGGGCTCTTGCGATCCTCCTGCCTCAGCCTCCCGAGTAGCTGGGACTACAGGCATGCGCCACCACGTCCAGCTAATTTTTCTGTTTTTAGTAGAGATGGAGTCTCACTCTTGCTCAGGCTGCTCTCAAACTCCTGAGCTCAAGCGATCCTCCCACCTCAGCTTTCCAGAGTGCTAGGATTACAGGTATGAGCCATTATAGGACATGGCAACCAAATCTAAAATTTCAGAAACATTAAAGACCCCTTTGTTGAAATGATATTTACAAGGTTAGATTTGTATTAAGCAAAAGTAGAGCTTGGTGGCAGTTAGCACATATCCCTGTAATGTTTCCATACTGCACAGGCCCATGGGACTGCTGTGCTCAGACGAACTCTTGACTCTTATCAAATCAGAATCTTTCAGCTGGCCTCTTGATGCAGGGGGTGACCACAGGGGAGCAGGGCAACATCTCTCTCTTGTTCTCTCTCTCTCTCTCTCTCTGACTCTTGGTGTGAATTCTGCAAACTTACACTCTGATCCAGTACCCAACCCACCCCCCTACTGCCAATGACTGCAATGTGAGTGTGAAATAAGTTTTATTGTGTTCAGTCACTGAAATTGCTGGTTGTTTGCTACAGCAGTTAGCCTACCCTGACCAATACATATACCAAGCAAAAAAGCATGTCTACAGAGCTCAAATTTCCTAGGAGGAATGCACAGAGGCCTGAAGATGATTTTCACTGTTAGCATGTGCTCACAGCTGAGCCAGGGCACAAGGTCAAGTGGCATTGTCCTCCTGTAGTCTTCAGACACCCACTTTATAGATAAGGAGATAGAGTCTCTGAGAGGCATGTACAAGCCATACAACTGGTAAGTGCAGACCTGAGAGCATTTCACAGCACCCTGGCCATGTGGCTTCTCTGAGAGGTGCAGAGGACACAGGAATTTATTGCATTTTTAAAACATATTCTTCCTGAAAATCTTTTTTCAAAACCTTTATGTGGGCTAGACACAGACATAGAAAAGCGTATGTGACAGATGTATTCAGCTCAGTGAAGTGTTACTCAGTGACCACACTGAGTGGCCACACTGAGTGGTACTGTGTGGCCACCACTCAGGCCCCTGTGATTGTCATGTCTCCTCTGGCACATCACGAACTGAGATTTCAAACTGAAAGTCCTGTAACATTTATCACAGTTAAATGTTTGCTTTCAAGAGGGCTGTCGTAGGTTTATTGTTGTGGTTTCTTTTTTTTTTTTTTTTTTTTTGAGACAGAGTCTCACTTTGTTGTCCAGGCTAGAGTGAGTGCCGTGGCGTCAGCCTAGCTCACAGCAACCTCAAACTCCTGGGCTCAAGCGATCCTCCTGCCTCAGCCTCCCGAGTAGCTGGGACTACAGGCATGCGCCACCATGCCCGGCTAATTTTATATATATATATCAGTTGGCCAATTAATTTCTTTCTATTTATAGTAGAGACGGGGTCTCGCTCTTGCTCAGGCTGGTTTTGAACTCCTGACCTTGAGCAATCCGCCCGCCTCGGCCTCCCAAGAGCTAGGATTACAGGCGTGAGCCACAGCGCCCGGCCTGGTTTCTTTTTAATTTGGTCCTGAGGTGTCTCTGTCAAGAGTGGCCACAAGCCAAGATAACCACTCCCCAGGAGCGCCCTGAGAAATGGGAAAGTTGGAATTGGGTATGTGTCAGGTGAGACACAATGAGGAGGTGAAAAGAAAATACATGAAACTGAAGAAATTTATTATTCACAGATCCCAGAGACATTCAGCTTCCCCTCAGGGCTTGTGGATCAGCTGGTTTAAAGAAAACATACAGGAAGGGGCACTTGTGTGGGACATTAGGTTTTATTATGGTCAGTAGCTGTGGGGTGTGTTTGATTTTTGGGTCAGTGAGACAAGGAACAAGTATCATAAACAACCACATGGGGCAGGGGAGTTTTATCTAAGCCAAACGTGACAGGGTACAGCTGGGTTTCAAACGACTTATGGAATCCTAAAAATGGATGCTGAGGCTGTAACTATATAAATTTATGACAAGGACTTTCTTTTCTCAAATTGAGATCAAATTCACATAACGTAAAATTAAAATGTTAAAGTGTACAATTCAGTGGCATTACATACATCCACAATGTCGTACAACCATCACCTCTTTCTAGTTGCAGAACATTTTTGTCACCCCAAAAGGAGACCCCCCAGACCCATATGCAGTCAGTCCCCATTGCCTCTTATCGTCAGCTCTAGGCATTCAGTAATCTCTTTTCTATCTCTATGAATTTGCCTATTCTGGACATTGCATATAAATGGCATCATGCAATATGTGGCCTTTTGGGTCTAACTTCTTTCACTGAACATGATGTTTTCAAGGCTCATCCACGTTGCAGTGTGGATTAGTACTTCATTCTTTTTATGGCTGAGTAATATCCCCATGCATGGGTAGACCATATTTTGTTTATCTGTCCATCAGTACATGGATATTTGGGTTGTTTTCACTTTTTAGCTATTGCGAAAAGCTTGGCTATGGGCACTTGTGTATGCGCATTTGTAAGAACACTAGTTTTCAATTCTTTGTGGCCTGTACCCAGGAGTGGAATTGCTGGGTCTTGTGGTGAGTCCAGGTAAATGTTTAGAGCAACTGCCAGACTGTTTTCCACAGTGGCTGCACCATGTTACCTTCCCGCCAGCAATGTGCAAGGCTTCTCATTTCTTCACGTCCTTACCAACAGTCCTTATTGTCCTTTTTCCCCAGTGGCTGTGCTTGTGAAGTGATATCTCATTATAAGGGCTTTCTTTCTTTTTTATTTCTCTTAGTCTTTTGATGTGCAGAAATTCTTTTTGTGCATTTTTTGTTGTGGCAAAAAAAATACATAACATAAAATTTACCATCTTATCCATGATTCTGCAAAGTGCAGGGTCTCTCTCACACATAGCCTCAGTTAGACTTGGGAGGCTTGGGACTGGCCTAGTGGCCCTGGTGTCCTTCTTCAGGATATCTGGATTTGGGGGTCCTCC